CAATAGTTCAAAGCATTAATTTCATGGAATATGAAACATATATATCTTTGGAGTTTCTCCACATCACTTGCGACCTGCATTTTCGATAAGAAAATGCTTCTTCCTTTCTTGCTTCTCCTTCATCCCTTGCTAGGCTCACATGATTATGCTGTCTCTTAAATCTTATGCCACCACTTGCATCGGCTTCATATACCTCATTAGATATGTAATCTCCGCGTAACCTTGCCATCTGCATATCTGGACCATGCTTCTTGCATCGCGAGTAAAAATTGTGGTTCCTCCCTATGCAAATTACTTTCTCGGTCGAACCTCACAGAAAGGAATGCTCTTTCATTGATATGACGATCTAATAGTCATTGGCCCATTAGTTAATGGAGCACGGAGGGTCGTATCGGCATGGAGAGCGGAGTAATATTCGAACTGGGAACGAGATTTAGAATTGAATTTCCAGAGAGACATCACAAAATGAGCTAGTGCGACCGCTTGGGGACTCGGAACTTGCAATTGAGGAAGCTGAAGACAGCGTGTTTCTATATTTGATCTTGAATAAGAACTGGGAAGACCATGTTTGGCATAAATCACCTTTCTGTGTGGGGAGGAAGTGGATCATGAGGGGCGTTGTTGACGGAAGTGTTATTCAATAAATGCGGCCAAAAACATTCGTTATGACATTTCAATATCCAAGCACAGATGATCCAGTCAGTGCAGTACGTTGGTACATTGGAAAGCCTAAGAAGGTTCATGCGTTAAGTTGACAGAGAGGCAAAAATCTTGGCTGGAAAAAGATTGAGGAGAGTGATTAGAATCTCAACTAGGTATATTGTAGTCTGACTAGATCCGACCTAAGGCTTTCCTCTCATCATAAGGGTCAGAAGAAGTACCGGAGCATCGTACTTCTAATCATCTCATCCGCAATTTCCATGGACGAGCGTGGAGATAGACAGCTTCGAGAACGAAAAGTAAATGCCTTTGCGTGAATGGCGCGCGATCTGAGCGTCAAACTCGTTGGATGATCGTTGCTATGACGGCAAACTTACTCAGTGTGCAGACCCGTGTGTTTCCAGGATTGAAGCTTTTGGCAGACTACAGTTGACGAATACCATCCATGTGGTTGAGACCAACGATGCGACCAACGCTCCAAAACCGACGGGTTATTCAACCCGCGAGTCACGAAAATGCTTGGTATGTCATCCCGCGCCCGTCGTATCCATAGGGGGGGTAAATATGTTATTGTGAAACGACGCTGAGGAGACCTCGGTTGCCCTCAAAATTGTAGGTACTATTTTTCATAATGACTCCCTAAAGCCGTTGAGAGGTTTGTGAATGGCTGCCAATCTTTCTATTCTTGTCGTCTTCGAACTTGGAAACATCTTTTCGTGGCCTTGCTTCGGATCTTTCGGACGGTGATAGTACGGTTGACATGTTCATCACAAAGCTCCATGAATTCATGCGACACCATACGAATATATTCAATTTAGATTGCCGACTTGCGCATCGTCTCGATGTTCCTATTTTCAACAACACTTGAGTCGAATTGCGAGTCGATGGGCCGGCCGACTTGAGCGACCGATATTTCTCATCCATCTCCAGTGGCGTGGCCTCCCAAATTTTCGATTATGGTGAGAATATCCAATCGTAGCCTCCACTGACTGATGTTAGTTTTCTCGTTCATCATTTGCTAGATTTTCTCATGTCATAACTCCCCGCCATCAATGCATAACCTTATAGCAGCGCGCGATTTGAACTGGACCCCTCTAATTCTTCCAATCAATCCTCACATATCAAATGCAAGCCATCATTGAAGCACCTCCAAAATGACACACACAGGATGTACCTTGTCATGTCTACCTACAGTATAGCGCCGTACCTCAAGGGTCAAAAATGTAATGAGGTTAACATCGCAAACCTGAAACTCACCTGATCAAAATTCTATCACAACCATATGGAAGCATCTCGCCATCGAAAATGGAAGGTCTTCACGGATTCTCGGGAGGATTTCTTGATTCAATTTCTACATTTACCTTCAAGAAATCTGGAATCTTTCGGACAAGGCAAGATCAAGCCTAAATGGAGGTGCCTGTTTGATCATCAACTTGAAACTCGATTACACAAAATCTATCTGAATTATAGCAAGGTATTGCCTGTTATGACTATCACGGAACCACAGATCCAACCTCTCTGTTCAAGGGAAACCCTTTTTTCGTGATGGCTTCTTCAATTTGAATCATGGATGAAGGGACACCCGGTGAATAAGCGATGGAACCAACATGATGATTGATCATTGGACAATCACGGGTATCACCCATTTATTTTCTTGAGGATTTCTTCTTGGATGCAAAAGTTTATTTCGCGGCGTGATAACAATAGACTCCAAAGACGGGCCGCATAGATAGCCATGATCTTCACTCGGTTTGTATTATTTTTATACTTACTTTACAAAGATCATCATTAAAATCGTGTCAAGCATCTCTTACCAATGCTTTCCCACAATTCGCAACAAAATTCCCGATATCCTAAAATTCCAAAAAAGTATTTTAAAGCAAGCAGGCAAGTAGGTAGGCATTGGACAATAGAAGGCAAGTACGCGCGAAGCATTCTTACCCTTAAACTTCCTCCAGCCACTCGAGTATCTTCAGCAATTAAACTCGGCGTTTACATACATACGATATTATATGTACCACCATAGTATCAACCCAATCCCACAATATTTCCCGTGCTACAATCTCACAGGACTCCACTATACGATGCGATGCAGTGATCCCGAAAATAGAGTACTCGGTAGATACATACAATCCCACCCTCGCAAGATCTTACCTCAGTCCAAGTTCCAAGCTTCCAAGATGATGTTCAAAATGATGTACTGGTAGTTATTTCTTTTGTAAAACGACGTACAATCACACGCACTGGACTAGTTCAATAGTATCAAGAGGGATTCAATTGCAATGCAACGATAAACGACTAATCTCGCAGGCTTTGACATTTCAACATTTGACTATCAGGTCGCTCCAGCTATTCGATATTTCAGTATGGAGTCTATCTCATATGCAATCTTACGGAGTACATCGTAGGGTGCATTCAACTTCTGCAGAAAAGTCAATACCGAGCGCTTGCTGAATGGGACCTGCCCGCAGTCATAAATCAAGAAGATGACTGACTGCATTTTCCCCCAAAATGTGATCCTTAAACGATTGGTTCTCAATCTTTCCCCATCATCTCTCTAAGAATCTGATACATCACTACTCGTAATTGGCTAGCTCTGTCACCCCAAAAATGCAATATGAATAAATATTGGTCTACTAGTAAACAGGGTTAAATTAATGCAGGTATGCATGAAACATCGAAGCTTGAGCTCTTCAGAATTCTCATTGGAGAGAAAGGCACGGCTGTCTCATCTTTTCTTACCATTCTTTGGAAATTGATCGCCCATCCGTCGCGTTGCCGCTTCTATGTACACGGAGTGCATCTACATCCCTTCATTTGTTTAGATCTAGATTCACCGAGCACCAATCCCAAGATACCCAACTAATTGAACCTTTCACGGATCGATGTGTAAAAGCGTTAACGCCATTCAAATTAAATACCAAGATCGGTATTGAAGCCACTCTTACTACCGGTCGGTCTTCGCTGTCATTTTACCCCGGCTATCAGATACCAATGTTGTGCCCTCGTGACTACGGTAGCGCTTCTGCAGACCACCAAAGCGACCTTCCTTCTATAATTATCCGCAAATCTTCTTCAGCTGTATTCGCTGGACTGGTAACTCGATGTCGGCGTCTAAATTATAACTGTTGTACTCCAATGATTTACTTCTGGATCTGTATCTTCAGATTCGAAGGAAATATAGAATTGCCATGGACCACAACACATGCCGTATGGTATCTCTGCCCAAATGCTGATGAAACGCTGACATCGGAAACTACTGAGATACTCAAAATAGCTCCATTCTTTTGACTAGCATGAGCCTTGAGGTAATGCTGATCTGACAGACCATCTGTGCGGAATTACACTTTTCTTTCTTGCTTTACCTTTTTTGCTCAATGAAGCTACTTCAATCTGGCAATGTCTTGCTTACTATGTAGGGTCCTCAGAGAGTATACTTCAGAGCTTGAAACGCCGGTGTCTACGGGTGGATTTTAAAGGAAGTTTCCTTTGACCATTTTCTTCTAGGCTGTATCAGATTATTCTATAGCAAGTAACTATTAGCAAGTCGTTCCGCATCTCCTTTTGGTAAACTAGGTGTCTACCATTATTGTTTATGTTAGTGTACTAAGTAGTGCCATTGTCAGTGTCAGTAGGAGTATATCTGCGCACGCTTTAAGATCGAAACAAAGGAAGGTTAGCTACCTAGTGTGGCTCACTGGCTTTCCGCAATTTGCAAAAGGGTGGCTTCCCTACCAAAATTTACTAGTATCTACAGTATCGTCTTTTTAAAATTGCCCTATGAGATGAGTAAGTCAAAGCAGTGTACTTGCGAAGCTCTCAGACATTCCGTACATCAGCATCTTATATCACATCCTGCACGGATTGATTTGTGGCTTCAAAGAGATTGCATAAACGATTTCGCAGCTTCAATGTACGAACTATCGGCAGTTGAGTTCCCTTCGTACCTCGCCGCAAAGCTACAGTATATTGGTACTCTCTCCCTTTGTACATTCGTATGTGAATGTCTCGTCTCACCCGAAACATCCATTCAACACGAGAAGGATTTCGCTAGAAGTTTGGTTCGTGCTAGGATCTCACTTTGCGCCCCATCTCGTAGCACTTGGAAATGCTTACTTAATAACTGACGAGATGAGATAAGTGATTGAATAATGAAGCAAAAAATTCTTTTGTTGCATATCGCGAAACGTAGGATCTGAGATCTGATTTCTTGTCAAGCTTATTCCATCCATCTTTTTTCGCAACAAAGGAAGGGATGAATGTGAAGGAGCGGCTCGTGTACATTATAGATGGAAGGATGAGTCAGTGTGCACCGTGCAATCCTTTGTTGATTACATACTATGTGGAAGGAGGTGCTGAAGGGCAGAAGAGGGATTGAAGCTGGTGTGGAGGTGGCAGTGAGAATGGGTCAAACATACCTTGATGCAAAACGATGGATTTTCCCACGTTTGATATTCAACGGGATGGTTGTTTGGGGTTCAGATGAGATTCTGAAAGGCGGTCATTATGTTCGGGGTGGAACAAAGTTCTTCGTGGATTCGATGGTTCATCGTGTTGTCGTGGATAACTGACCTTCCGGTGCCGCAATATACTACGGTGATAGAGATACTGTGGAAGGATCGAGCTGTACATCTTCATGTCTGTTTCGCGTTTCGTTTCGAGTTATGCTAGCATTGAAATATACGGTACTGGTACACACGTTTGTATAGGAACCCGTGGGATATTGCTCTCTTGCATTGCGATGTTATGCTGGGTGGTAGCATTAAATCAACAATCATGTATAAACCCAGAGCACCAATTGACCTTCGTATCCTCTTCCGAATAGGTGTTTTGAATCATATGCGCATAAATTGTTCACATCACACACACACACACACATTAGGACTATCGCAAGTATCGTCAGAATCCCACTTCTTGATGTGACATCTTCCACATCTGAACTTCACGTATCCATCGGCATTGTATGATGTAAGGATACATACAATATTGCACATATGAGGGACACATTTATCACAAAATACACACTGCCATATGAATGACAACTTCTCCTCGCAGAGAGTAGCGATGTAGATATTGGAAAGTCAAATCCAGGATATGCACACTTCTTCCCGGGCCTCCAGCTTTCGTGAGCGAGGTGGGTAGAATCTTAGGGATGATTTAGAAGTAACTACGATTTCTACCTATAATTCTCGTAAGCTACTAGTTGCATGTTCGTTTAGCACTGTCTTGGTTGAATTTTAGGGAAGTAAGTGAATCAATCCTTGAAACGCAGTATCTAGAAAACCCTTTGATGATGTGCCATTACTATCGTCTACCTCCTCGCAATCTCTAAATTCCAGAGTTTTCTCCAGCCTCTTTCTCGCCGTCTCTAGCTCAACATCTTGCTCACCGTCTTGCTCGTTGCCAGTTTTCAGTTTCTTCTTCGAACTCTTCATGCGCTTCTTCAATGCTAACTCACTCATACTAGAACGTTCAACTTGCGCTGTCCCTCCGCTGCTAGAACTGCTCGATTCGCCAGGTGATCGACGTCCGCGTTTCTTTGGCTGAATATTTTGCTTGTCAATGGCTTGGTTTTGATTGTCCGCTTCTGTGCTGCTGGTACCGTAGTCGTCCACATTATCGTCGTTCGTATCGTCGTTCGATTCTTCGTCGCCAACTTGCTCCTCCTTAGTCTCTTTTTGTCCGCTTCCGTCGTTGCTATTCTTTTTTTCACTCTCATCTGTTGCGAGACTTCCGTCCTTCTCGTAGTACTCAACACTTTCGCTGTCAATTCCTCCCGTTCCCCCCTCGGCAATTTCTTCTTGTCCGTCCCCATCCCCTTCATCGGCCTCGCTCTCATCAACATAGTCGGGAATATCGATCGTATTAGGAATCCAAGCTTTTCTCTTTTTCGGCCGGTCCGAATTCCTAATCTCAATTTGCTTCATCTTCATGCCTCTCCCTCTTATCGTACATGTTTCCATCATATGCTTGAAATTAATCTGCTGCGGAGTTGCACTGATAAATTTCCCCTCGCCCCAGATTCTTTTGTAGAACTTCACAACCCATTTCCTTGACGTTGTAGTATCTTCCCGCTTTGGTGTTACGGGGATAAACCGTTCGAATGTAATGTCTTCGATACATCCCGCCACAATCTCTGTCTCGAATTTGAGAACTGGGTCGGCTTGTACGAACCAATTCATGAGTTTGACTTTCTCTTCAGAAGTCAGCTCGCTAGCTGGTCTTACCCTTTTTGGCATGCTGGTTAGAGATGGTGTAGATCCATGATCTGTTGCGGGAAGAAGCCCCTGAAATATGATCTCTGATATCTCAAAAGCGTTACAAAGTTGGAGAAAGTCTGGACAGTGATTTCTTCATGGTTCTAGTAGCCCGGAGATCAGCTTCGGCTGGATGTTGCATATATGCTTTCTTTCTCTCCCAGCCAACAATATCCCTTGATTCTATGCTGAATTCTCGAAACCAATGGTCAAAAAGTACTCTAAAGAATGGTATTAATAAACAATATCTTTTTGTCACAAATACAATTTATGAGGCAAGAGTGTTCACATAAATGCATGATATGATGTCTTGAAAAGAGCACGATTGTTTCGACATACTACGTATATACATATCTACCCACCCCACTACCTTACCTTCCTGTCCTTAAGACCAACATATGCCTTACAACCCGACTAGAAAAATGTACACGAGAGGCCATTTCAACGCTTTTGAAGGGTTTTGTATAGATACATTAAGAGAATTAAAGCCATTAATGGGTACATTTTGACATGATTGCAAGATTAAGCATTTTTACTAGATTTGTTGCTTTGAAAGGGCGGTTGAGTCTGTCTAGAAGGGGGGGTGTCATTGAAATTTGTTGGAATCTAGTGGTAGCGATGGTGGTGTTACTCTTTGCTCGAGACATACATAGATAAGCTTATTGTATGCTTCTGCGGGAAACATGTTTGGTATATATAAGCAATTTCAAAGAAAGTGATTGTTTGAATGTAGGGGATCGAGAATCAACTCGGAACACTGTATACTTGGAGAGATGATGTCCCTGACTTTAGTTGAAGGCCGTAAGGTAAATTGAGATCGCTGGAGCTAACTGGTGAGATCTTGAGATTTGAAATATAGGAGTGAGAAGACTGGAACTGATTGGGAAGTTTGCCGACTATCTGATCAAGGGCCGATGGTAGCAATATAAAGACACCTGATATACCGACAGTGGTATGTATATCTGGCAGATGTGCATCTCAATTTACATAGAAATTCTATCTTCGACACAGAAAATTCGATAATCCCTAGAGTGGGAAATAGGCAAAGTAAACACACGTATACACACACATGTATAAGATTCATTCCATCGGAGTCTATTGAATTTGTTGGATGTCTGATCCTCGGGTCTCGATGGCGTCTGTCCTAAGTTCCACGGTCTCCAAGTAATGGACATAGATGGTATTTTATAATAATTAAATCCTCTGGCCTCATCACCAATCACAGAGATTCGTCGAATATGGCAATATAACATGTTTTGTGTAGTTTTAGTGAATTTGATATTGAAGTGGATAGCTCGATCATGTGACTATAAGGTTAGTTGAGCGTCCATAAGTGGACACATCAATGATTGTTGGAACGCTTTTCGTCTGCATGAACTTCTCACATCAGAAACCGAACCAAATGATAAAACCTTACTTATCATCTACGCCTTGATCCATATTCAAAATGGATACTCAAGGTCTCAGGTCAATCTCGACACTAAACAATTTCTCAGATATGGATCCTTGGAAGTTAAAAGGAACGTATGTATTTTAATGTACGGTTTGCATCATCCTTGACAGGGTATTCATACCACTCTATCACTTCCATCATAAAAGCAGCGGTTTGTGGAGTCTCGTGAGAGTATGAAGGTTCTAATTATGCAAGTATCTGCCGGTCATCAGCTAGTTTTAAGCGGCTATTGAACAGCTCCGAATGAATATGCAGATGCAGTGTCAGTGTGGAGTTTGTCTTGACTCGACAGCAACGTCATCTGCACGAATTGCTTATTTCAAGTTACCGGTGGGGACAGTGGGTATCTGTCGGAGAAGTTTCTTTCCCAGAAAATATGTCGCTTTGATGCGAGATCCATTTGTTTTGCGTGTGATATCTCAGCGGGCAAGACATTGCTCGGAAGCACATTTCGACTTTATACCCATGCGTATTTGCTCCACAGTTCTCGTTTTCCAACAGAGAGTATATCCTGTGAGCTTGGGTAGCATAAAACTATAGGAATTTTGCATCAAAAGGTTAAACACAACCCTCCATCTCCTCAAAAACGAAGGGGGGTGTAGATACACATCGGCAGTCCAACAGTAGGCACTATTACCCAAACCATTTTCGTTGTTATTTATCACTCCTGCCTTTGTTACTATCCGATCTTTGATCTCCTTACATCTCATCTCTATTCCTTGACATGAAATATGATCAATTGCAAACAAGCTCAACATGGCTGGCACCTTCCTTCCACGCATCGGACGATACCTTTTTGGGAGTGCACAGGCCACCATTCGAGCAGTTCATTCATCATTCCACCATTAGCTCCAACAACCTGATCGCTCCCGCATATAAACCACGTTAGTTGGGTCACAAACGTGATTACTCGCTGAGGCTTCTTACCACTTCGGGTCATGCATGTGATGGGTAGGATCACATAGGCCTTGGAGAATATGTGAAAGATACCGAATGAGGAAATTTACGTTAGGTTTGAAGCTATCTAGACTCCAGTGGGAGTGATGAGGTGCTTTTGTTGCACGTCGGGATTTTATGTCAATTATGCCATGATGGAAGAGTGGCTTTTTCGAACTCCCGATTAGAAATATGCACGTTTCGTGGACCCAGAAGAGGACGTGTTTTTATGAATCTTTGTGCAGGGTTCCATCATCTCAAGTCGAGATAGATAAAGACCCGAAGTATACAATACAGCGCTTGAGATCAATATACCTTTACCAAATTTTCGGAAAGACTAGGTCTTTGTTGAGAGCCAGACCCTTGCATGAGTTTCCGCGATAAGCGATAGATATAGTGCTATATTACCAATGTGTGCAGCTGGTTTGGTCACTGCCAGTCTCAATCGGCATGATTGTTTTGCCAGGCTATCGTCGCTGGCACTAATGTATATGCCTCCCCTTGAGACTTTTGTATCTTTGACCACCTGAGCATACAATCTCTAAAAATATATCCAGATGAGGCAAGTCTGGTATAAACTCCGAAGGTCTCCCACTTTCAACTGATACTCGGTGCTATAAAACCATTCCAGTATTGCCACTCGCTATAACTGCTAATGATGACATTATTTCTTATTCATTTAAGCATAGTCCTAGTCCATCTTCCTCATTTCAAGTCATTACCCACAAGTCATCTGAAGCTAACCCTGAGTTCGCAATTCCAATCTTGTCCCAGTCGACGGAAGAATATTTTAGCTATTTGATACTTTACAACGAAGAGATTTTCTGCTGCGTCAACAATATCTGTATACTCCCAATGAATACCGTTCTTGAAAAGAAGTCATTCCTTAATCAGAGTAGAATCACATTCCCAGTATTGAGTTTTGGGAACAACTATCACGATATCCATATCCTCCCCCTTCCCATTACGTCCTTCTGATGTGGATATAGATGTAAACATCATCCACTATGTCAAAATTTGAGAGGTACAAGGTTTCCACCTGTGTAGTTCATCAGTGATGGATCATCACTGAACACTCATATTGATAGCCACTAGAAAGTAGATTCTTCATCTCCATTTCGAATATTTTTTCAAGCACACCTATCACCACCTATCCATCAATGTTGTTTCCAATAATTACAGTACCATTTCCAGAATTTTCGATTTTAATAACGATCTCATACTACAGTAACTCATTTTCACTGTTGATTTTACAGTTTCATAGATACATCTACCATTCATCATACACACAAATCCGCTGTTGCAATCTCTAAAGTTTGGACTATCTAAATAGCTTCGATTGCTCGTTTAGTTTTCTACGGACTTTCCAACGGAAAGTTGCAGATTCGCTCTTGGTGCAATATGTATTGTGGATGACCAATTTATAGTATCAGTGCTAAGGTGAGTATATAAACAATTTGTGTATCTTTTTAGATTGTGTGATCGATGGGTAGATGTCCATATTATAATAGCAAGTTTAAAGGAGTGATATTCCCTGGTTGTGAGTCTGACCTGGGGTAGATAGATGTACGTATTGATTCAAAGCGAGAATTTTCTAAACACTAACATTACATCAGAAAGAGGCAGTCAAAAGTATTCGAACGGGTAGGCATATACATCGTTTCTCGTGTTTTAATCTCTATCATCTAGACTCCGTATTCAGGCATATCTCGAATAGACTATACATTTTTGGGGTTTTTAATACGATCTCCTATTTATAAAGATGATAAGATTTAAATCTACATCTCGCTATCGTAACATCTAGGTTATCGTTAAGATTACTTACTACAAATACTACACACCTAGATTCTCTCAATAATAAGCTAAACCTCTATCCTATCAATCTACCCCCTCTCCGCTCTCAAAGACACACGCAGGATTCTCGCTTCATATTCCTCATATCATCCCCTCTGTCTTCTGCACCATTGGTAGATATAGCTCGTGGATTTCTTTCCAGATAACGAAATATTGTTATACTATACTCACTCCATCGGATAACCAGCTCATTTCGTGATTACTAGTAAAGGGGATCGTTTATCGTTTATCTTCTTTATGGAGACATGTAACTCGTGAACCATATCTGTTATTCGATATCTACTTCATACTTCATACCCGATCCAAACTCCCTCCCCCCTCTCCTCGAAAGAACCACCTCCACTCCCATCATTCCCCCAACAAAACTTTCAATAATAAACATAACCATTTTAAACCCTATCGCTCTATACCTACCTATCCATCTACCTCGACTATCCCACCTCAAATTTCCCCCAAGTTTCTATATGGAAAAAAGGTATCGTAGATATATATCATACCTAGGTAGATGTATGTATACATCCAGCAAGAAAAGACATCATTACAATGCATATATATTTTGTATTCTTAAGAGTTGGTAGTATAAGTATAACTTTGCGTAGGTATAAAAACAAAAATATTTCTCCAATCCCTCTCTTCTCTCTTCCCAAACCTAATATATCTAACACTAATATTGATAGTCTATATCGTACATAAAGATGATTAATCCATAAAATTCTCTACTCCTCCTTCCTTCCTTTTTTGTATACATGTAAACTCGGAGGATGAATAAGAGAAAGGAAATGAAACGAAATGGAGAGATGTGATGCAATATAGTATAATAGTATAAGATGAGATAAAATAAATATACCACAACACCATGTAGTATGATCATTTCAAACCATTCAAAAAAAGAAATACATTTCCTCGACCAAATATCTATAATCCAATCCAATCTATTTATCTACCATCTATCTATCTATACATACATACAATACCAATTCTCAAAGCCATCCATAAGCAGAGCAGATAGAGCATAAGAAGTACCTAGTAAATCAACTTTATCTACACACAGTAAGCAATTAAAATATTGTAATTGAGATTATTCTTAATCTCTCTTGATCGAACGGGGAAGTGGATTGGGCTGTATGTATAGCGAGGTGGGAGGTATAGCATACAGTCTATCCTGCTAAGTTTGAGATTGGAAATTCAAAGTTTGGAATTCGAGATAGGAGAGTAGAGAATGGAGAGTAGAGATTAGAAGGAAGTTTTACAATTCATTGGATTACATTGCATACATTGTATTACACTATGAACGAACGAACGAAAGAAAGAAAGAAAGAAAGAAAGAAAGAGAGAAAGAAAGGAAGTATAAGACTTCTCAATTTTGAGATTGATATATATGGATAGATATGTGTGTATGTAAAAGATGAACGAATGTATGAACGAATGTATGAATGTATGTATGAATGTATGTATGAATGTATGAATATATATTAGTAAGTAGTAAAGTGATTATAGACATAATCCATCCGTATACAATAATAATTTACGAATTTGTTAATGTTATAAATCTACCCGTCTATTCATCACCCATCTATCTATCAGCAATCATCCAGCATACCTTTCCATTCCTCGCTCGGCTTGATAAAGGACAAAAGAATTCTCTTGATTTTTCTTCGCCTTGTTTTAAGACGCAGAGTTAGAGTTAGATTTAGATTTAGATGCAGAACTCAAGACTTCAAAGTTAGATACATTGAGAAATCCTTCTACTACAGTACTGCGGCGGAAAAGAAGCGAGAAGAAAAAGAAAAAGAGAGCGAGGTGATTAAGAACAGTAGAAGGGAAAAAGAAGGCGTGAAAGGATCTACATATAGTAATACCCTTCTTACCGAGGAGGAAAATAATTATTGTATTGTGTAGAGATCAAGACTAGAAATGTCTAACACAACATAGGTACAGCCAAGAGCAATAATCGAGTTATACTTGCTCAATGTATATTCTACGATAGGTGTTTTTAGTAAAAAGTTCATCGATCTTTCCCGAAGCGGAATATTGATGTATGAGTATGAAAAATATCAATACTCCCCTCATTTCTTTTCCAACATCGAATATTTCTTCAATACTTATTTCTCACCTATTATTATAATAGACATAATTATCAATCTATTACCAATCTATTACCTTTCTACCCTTTGTCCTAAGTCGTATATCTTGTTTTGAAGAACAAATCCATCAACACCAGCGAATTCAAAGCCATGTCGAGTTATTCATCAAGCGAAACGGATGATTCGCAGCCTCCCAGCATCACACTTTCCGCTGCACTATCGTTCGACGAAGATAAATTGCCGACTTTCAGTGATTCCGAAGGATATGATGGAGATGATGAAGACACAGGAATAACGAGAGCGTATGTGAAAAAGAAAGACATACCTGGAGAGAAGATGAAAAAGAAGGCACAAAAAGATTTGAAAAGAAAAAGGGAATTAGAAGAAATGCCAGAAGGCCGGTCGGAGTCAGTCTATTCCATGGTAGAGAACGGATCAGCAGAGAATCAAGGTACTTTAAATCAAAATTCTCCAAATTCAGCTAGTGGTGATCGCACGGAGCAGTCTCAGGTGGCTCGCTATGGAGTAGCAGTAAAAGCAGACAGACAATGGAGTGGTGTGGTCGATGGGAGATCAATACTTCCCTCATCGCTCAATAAAGGCAGTCATAATAGGGCAATGACTGAGCCAGAAGATGATCAGGTTTTACTAGAGCAAATGAAGGGGGGATGCCAAGACCATTCTTCAATACCAGATGGGAGAATATCGGAAGGAAAGAATGGCTTTGAGACCGCTCAATTTGCCTCAGAAACGGGCGAATATGATATAGCCTCGAACTCGGCATCTTCAATGGAAAGGCATGAATACATTCCGAAATCCGCGCCAATAACAATACCAAAACCAGCAGATTTCTTAAAGCGATTTCCTCAATCAATTCTACACCATGATGATGTGGCACCGGTAAGAGCAAGGCATGGATGGGGCCAAGCCAAGTCACGCACTAATAGAATAAGTCCTGAGCGACCATCACGGGTTGATGCTTCGTTGTTTGGTCATGAGTTGGAGCCAAAACCAACTCCGCGTACTATGACTGAAGGACTTAGAGCGACACAGATATTGTACGAGACGCTGGAAGATGTATTTTTGAAACGGAAGAAGACTTAGAAAGGTATAAAAAGCTCATGGATGGGACGGAGGGTGATGAAGAGAAGAATTGATAGAGGGAGGTGAAAATACTTTGAACAGTGTACAGCAAGCGAAATTAATACATTTGCGATATAGATAATGCCAGCGAAACATTGATAGACGTTTAGCTCTATGACAATGAAATTACTTCTAGCAGAGGTCAATGTAAGCCTTTGAAATGAGTTCTCAATTCAAGCTGGATGTTTGTGCCGCTTCCAAAGATTGAAAGTATCGATTTGTTGAGTTGTAGTTCAGAACATTGAAAACCATCATCAATACATGTCCCGAGGCCAGTTTGATATTTGGATTGGCACAGCATCTCCGATAATCGCATACCCCTGACCTAGTCAAGGGATTGGAGAAGAATAAGATGGTGAAGTGGAAGACGGCTTGCAAAGCTCGACTACTAACTTTCAGTGATAATTCAAGTACCGTATACCACTAAGTATGTGTCCTAACATCCGAAGATTCCGGGTTGAACAGTAAGATTCCTCATATTCACAACCCTCATGATCAAAATAGTTACCGCCATTAAACAGTAAGCCCTCTCTAGAGATCCATCGTGGCCACCATCGGAATAACCGGGAGTATCTTCTTCCAAGCTACGTACCCGAGTCGCTTGGTTGCGTTGTCCGTGGAATGGGAGAAAGCACGTATCGATCGAATGCTGGGTTGCCATGTATTAATCTGTATGCAGATACAGTTGCAATAAGAGTCGGGCCCCATTGTACATATGCGCCAATTTCGAAGATTAGCCATATTCCTACGGGGAGCAGGGAGAAAACCTGGAGGTTCCTAGTTTATTGGTAAAGAGTACTACTGTTGGTTGTTCGGAAAGCCTTCTTATTTGAGAACTCCGACGCTTGCAATGGCCCACGGGGAAAAATGATGGAGAAGAGGAGAAAAGGAGATATGGATTTCAAAGTAATCGGTCCGATGAGATATATAGTGGTTTAAATTGATAAATTGGTAAGGATAGGAAGTAGCGTGTAGTCTAGGGAAGTGTGAACGGCGGGGTCGGATATCGGGGTAGATGGTTGCGAGGCTTCCAAACCTGTGCTACGTAGGGACTTTCTAGTACTATTACTGTTTGACATACGGCTCGATCCATGAATTTGTGGCTGGACAGGTTCGGGGAAAGCTTGGAAAGCTTGGCTAGAGATGGGATGGCGAAGAAAGAGAAAGAAAAAAAGGATAGGAAGGCGGGGCGGAAATGTCGTTCCTAGACTCTTAGTGGACATGTGAGATATTGCCGATCGGAAGTTCCATTCTTGGATGGTGTTGGTCGTAACTTGGAAAACTTTTTTTGCGAGTGAGTTGTTTGTCTTGCGGAGGGTTTTGGTTGATGGAAAATGGGGGTGAACCGATGATCAACCGCAGATTCTAGAACTTCTTTCAAGTGTCCCTGTTGATCTAACTGGGTCTTTGTCCGAAATTGTGATATGGTGATGGTGGTGATGGTGGTGATGATGGTGATGATGGTGATGATGGTGATGATGGTGATGATGGTGATGATGGTGATGATGGTGATGATGGTGATGATTAGACATTCCCATCATCTCGAATTGCCTTGCCTATTCCCACCTAACAGACTCATTCAACGATGTCCCTGGTATTCCTTCAGACATGATCCCATCTATTCTATCATTCATTCATTCATTCATCCCATTCCAATTTTAAATACAACGGAGCCACCTCGTGAAGGCCAACTCTTTCTCTTCCCAAGATAACAAGGAGACCCAAAAAGAAGAAAAAACGAAAGTCAATTTGCATTCAGAAGTGGAGTATTCATGATTCGATCATCACTTGACAGGCAAAATAAATCCCACGTACGGTATCAAGTAATATGTGTCTAATCAATTCCCCGCCTTTTCCCCAAGTTCCGAGGAAAATCCGATTATGGAGTATGGGTCTATGGATATTATGTGGGTCCGCGCGGGTCACCACATTTTTTGAAGTTTGTGGGGTTTGCGGAGGTCAACATGCATGGCGGGGGTAGGTACAGCTGTAGCATTAGCAATTGAATTGATGGAGTCTGATCTATGAGATAGATGCATGGATAGGAACAAGAGACTTTGAGAGAGTTTGTGTGTGTGTGAGAGAGAGAGAGAGAGAGAGAGAGAGAGAGAGAGAGAGAGAGAGAGAGAGAGAGAGAGAGAGAGAGAGAGAGAGAGAGAGAGAGAGAGAACGAGAGTGTACGAGAGAGACATATGATGTGATTGATGATAAAGGACATCAAAGCGATCGATATCTGAGAATACAAAAGAGTTCACCATTTGTCCAGATGTCTCACTCTCACTCTCATATGAGCGGATAGAAATTGCCGGGTAAGCTAAGCTCTTGGAAGTTCAATCTTTGCCAATTAATGTCTAATGATCCTTCATCCATGCTTGTCATATTATCATCACCACCACCATCATCATCATCATCATCGTTGATGCATGTCAGCTTGGAAATGACGTTTGTTCAATTGTGTCTGTAATCTTCGCCGTTTTATTTTGGTGTAGCAAAACACCACTAACACCACCACCAACAACAACAACAACAACAATAATGGAGATGTGATACTATGAAAGAGTTCAAACGATATATATCAACACTAATTACCAAATATGCCTTTAACCTTAAACTTCCATACAAGACGCGATACGACTGATATAATTTGATATGATATACACACTTGCATACTCGGAACTGACTAGGTAATAAGCTCGTACATATCGACCCAACATGTCACTCTAAATATCAAAAGGTCTTCAGGAACTTTATTTCTCATGAAGATCTTTCACCTCTTTCATCCAACTAATATCCATTGGAGAGCCAAACTTCATGCACATCGTCTGATAGTCTACCACTCGAGCCACTATGCTAAATTCAACAAGGGACCTAACATTTTTAACTTTACTCTGCTTTGCCGATATACTGGGGAAGAGGGAAGCTCAATATTTCTTTTGCAAGATCTACCTGGTACCTCCCTAGGGAATGGGAAACAAGACAAGCTAGCTATTCATACCTACCTAGGTACTCATCGATATGTACCTACTACCTAGTATGTATGGTTTCGTACTCGCTCCGTACGTATGAGACCCCATCTTTGGATTATCAATCAATCATCGATGGGTCTCAAGGTCAAGACTCAAGACTCAAGGTCAAGACTCAAGACTCAAGGTCAAGACTCAAGACTCAAGGTCAAGACTCAAGACTCAAGACTCAAGACTCAAGAATCAAGATCTAAGAGAAGGTGGGAACGTGTAGACTCCACAGACACACATACACACACATACACACGCATACACACACACATACCTCCCAACCTTATTATCAGCTACCTAGTCCCCTTGGTATATAAAGTATCTGACCATCCCACGATCTTTCTTTTTACTCACTCTGAGATCAGTACATTCAATCATCTCAATTCATTTGAGACTGTACTTACTTGTTCCTCAATTACTCTTAATTTTAATCCAATCACCATTCAATTGGTGGTGGCTCTTTCCTCAAAATGAGATATTCACTCGTGGTTGCTGGGTTACTGGCCGCAGCCTCTCCCAGTCAACAAGAAAGTACTTTGCATCGCGGTACCAAACAATCTCGTCAAGTGTGTAACCCCGATTCCCTTTTACCCTTCCCATCTATCTACCCTTTCTTCCACACACCATATTTCTCTCAATGCAAGGAATGCCAAACCGCTCGTTCTTTTGGATTCCCGCTCTTCATGATTACAATCATTTTATAATTTACAACCGCATCATCACAACATCACCATGAAGAGTTTATTAGATCTCGTTCTTGTTCTGTCGGGTATCATCACCGGAGATAGAAGATTGCTAACTCTTGGCACAAAGCCGTCAAATTCTACATATCCCGGTGCTGTGTTCGGTCAAACCAGTGACCCATTTTATCCTTCACCATGGATGAACCCAAATACCGGCGGGTGGGAAGATGCTTATGTGAAGGCTAAGGATTTTGTTTCCCAGCTCACGTTGTTGGAAAAGGTTAATTTGACTACTGGTGTTGGGTAAGTTTTGTTGAGATTTACATTGGTGATTTTTTAACTAATGATCATTCAGATGGAAAGGGGAACAATGTGTTGGTCAAGCAGGATCAGTTCCTCGTCTCGGTCTCCGATCGATGTGTATGCAAGATTCTCCAGTTGGTGTTCGTGATACCGATTTTAACTCGGTATTCTCGAGTGGTCAATCTGTTGCTGCCACTTTCGATCGTGGTTTGATGTATGCTCGAGGCTATGCTATGGGTGTGTTTTGATTTTCTCCGATTGGTTTTTATTTCCCTGACTAATTAATGTTATAGGCCAAGAACATAAAGCAAAGGGTGTTACTGTACAACTCGGTCCAGTTGCTGGTCCTCTTGGTCGTGCTCCACAAGGTGGACGTAACTGGGAAGGATTTAGTCCAGATCCTGTCTTGACAGGTATTGGAATTGCTGAGACCATCAAAGGTATTCAGGACGCCGGTATCATTGCTTGTGCTAAGCATTTTATCGGTAACGAACAGGTATGTAATTTTTTAATTTCCAAGTATCAATATGCAGAATACTTTGATTCCCCCATAACCCACCACTACTTCGATAACTTACAATTATCTAGGAACATTTCCGTCAGTCTGGTGAATCGCAAGGCTTCGGCTCCAACATTACTGAATCCAGTTCATCCAACATTGACGATGTAACCATGCACGAGACATACCTCTGGCCATTCGCAGACGCAGTTCGCGCGGGTGTTGGTTCCATTATGTGTTCTTACAATCAAGTCAACAACTCCTATGCTTGTCAAAACTCCAAGATGCTCAACAACTTGTTGAAGGATGAGCTCGGATTCCAAGGTTTCGTCATGACTGATTGGCAAGCTCAACACACCGGAGCAGCTTCCGCTGTAGCTGGGTTGGACATGACCATGCCTGGTGATACCCTCTTCAACAGTGGAGAAAGTTTCTGGGGAACCAACCTCACATTAGCAGTCATCAACGGAACCGTCCCAGAATGGAGAATTGACGACATGGCAATGAGGATTATGGCTGCTTATTTCAAGGTTGGCTTAACACTTGACGAGCCAGAAATTAACTTCTCTTCATGGACTCTCGATACATACGGACCACTCCACTATGCAGCTGGAAAGGATGTTCAACAAATTAACTGGCACGTCGATGTTAGAGGAGACCATGCAAAGTTGATCAGAGATATTGGAGCTCGATCAACAGTTCTCTTGAAGAACACCAAGAACGCACTTCCTCTTTCAAAGCCCAAATCCCTCGCTGTCATTGGAGAGGATGCTGGCCCAAGCCCTTACGGACCTAACGGATGTTCTGACAGAGGTTGCGATAACGGTACCCTTGGCATGGCTTGGGGTTCTGGTTCTGCCAATTTCCCTTACCTTGTCACTCCAGACACTGCTCTTCAAAACCAAGCCATTGCTGATGGCACTGTTTACCAGAGCATCTTGGATAACTATGCTACATACCAAATTGAAGCACTTGTCAGTCAAGAAGTCACCGCCATTGTTTTCGTCAACGCCAACTCCGGAGAGGGCTATATCAGTGTTGATGGAAACATTGGTGACCGCAACAACCTTACTCTTTGGAACTCTGGTGATGAATTGATTAAGAACGTCTCTGCTCTTTGCAACAACACCATCGTCGTTATCCACTCCACCGGACCTACTTTGGTTGGTGATTGGTACGACAACGAGAACATCACTGCAATCTTGTGGGCTGGTGTACCAGGACAAGAAAGTGGAAACAGTATCACTGATGTTCTATATGGAAAGGTTAACCCTGCTGCCCGTACACCATTCACATGGGGACCAACCAGAGAAAGTTATGGTACCGATATTCTCTACGAGCCAAACAACGGCGAGGCTGCACCACAGCTCGACTTCACCGAAGGCAACTTCATTGATTATCGTGCTTTTGATGCTCAAGGCATCGAACCAATCTATGAGTTTGGTTTTGGTCTCTCATACACCACATTCAACTACTCTGGTCTTACTGTTACCAAGAATGCCAATGCAAGCAGCACCTATACTCCATCATCTGGATTGACTCAAGCTGCTCCATCTTTCGGAAACTTCTCTACAGACCTCAATGATTACATCTTCCCCAACGGTTCATTCCCATATGTCTATCAATACATTTATCCATACCTTAACACCAGCGATGCCGCCGCCGCATCTGCGGATCCAAAGTATGGACAAAATGCCTCCGAATTCCTCCCACCAAAGGCACTTGATGGATCTGCTCAACCTATCCTCGCAGCGGGTGGTGCACCGGGAGGTAACCCAGCACTTTACGATGTTCTCTACACCGTTACTGCACAGATCCAAAACTCTGGTGAAGTCGACGGTGAAGAAGTTCCCCAACTCTATGTTAAACTCGGTGGACCAAATGACCCTCTTATCGTATTGAGAGGGTTCGAAAGACTTTCCATCCCTGCAGGAAACACTACTACTTTCACTGCTGATTTGACTAGAAGAGACTTGAGCAACTGGGATACAGTCGCGCAAAACTGGTTCATTAGTAACTACACTAAGACAGTTTATGTTGGTTCCAGTTCGAGAAACTTACCATTGAGTCAAGATTTGGCTTAAGAGGGGGGTGAATGAATAGGGTGGGATAGAGTGGGTCATGATGAACCAGATTTAACACATAATGACGGGGTGTGGAAAACAAATGGCAGAATGGCCTTTTGGGTATGGTTACGTACATATTTTTATGAAGTTATGAAATGATACATATGACATGGATATATATATTGAGATGGCTTTGTGGTTTTACGAAAGTGATAACAAAAATTGTGCATTTATGAAAATGAATATAGTTGGTGACCTAGGTATTTATCGGTTGGCGTTTGGTATAGATGAATGTAGAGAATCGAGTCGTGATATACATGCATGTCAGATAACATATCGGTAGATGAGTGCAATGGAACTCGCAAATGAATATGCAACGCTATGTGAAGTTGTTAACTCGTCGCGGCGTTTTTTGTGTAGTTAAGTATAATAAGAAGAGGTAGGTGTTTGGTAGGCAAGGTAAGGTAAGGTAAACAGGAGATGTCGAGTGGAAATCTTGCGAGTGATTTATTTCTTTTGTATATATGGATTTGGGATTTGGTTTTTGTTGTAGAGGTTGTGAGTTTGAAGGGTGGAGGGTGGAGAGTGGAGAGTGGAGTTTGGGGCTTTGGGGCTTTGGAGCTTTGAGAGTTGGGGGAGGTTTGTTGTGGAGAGATTGGGGAGGAAGGAGGGGGAGAGGGGGAGAGGGGGAGAGGGGGAGAGGGGGAGAGGGAGAGAGAGGGAGAGAAGGAGAGAGAAGGAGAGAAGGAGAGGAATAATGATGGAAATAATGACTGGTGGTTGAGTTCTTCTGGGAGGGAGGGATGAGAAGTTGTATTTCACTGACTGTGTGAAGCTCGTAGCAGGAGAAGAAGGAAAGGAAAGGAAAGGGGAGGAAATCGGAGGGGAGTACAACTTCATATCTGATAGTCAAAAACACAGGTAGACGGAAATGAACACCGATAATTTTCTTGAAGAATAGTATAGATATTCTCTCTTTAGCAAGAATCTACGAGGAAAGAAGGCTCCCTAACAAAGCGATACCTCGATCCTACAAGTGAGGATTTCAAAATCTCTGGATTCATCTCAGTTCTTGTTTATTTTTGCGCGGTCAAGAGTCTAGAGTCTGTGGAATTTGTTGCGGAAATAGATTAGAAGGGATAGAAGTGATGGGATGGGATAGTTATGTGTGTTTGAGGTTTGAATATATGAGAGGTGTGATTGTTGAATAAGGAGTCGTGGCTTGAGTTCCGGAGTGAGTGAGAACGTCAGAGAGTATATCTCAATCATCTCAAACATAATCAAAACCCACTGATTTCCCACAAGAAACTCAAATCCGAATACCTATCCCTCATATACCATAGGAACAGTATATCATACACAGAACCGACACCAATCTATTCAATACTTCACATCGACAACTACATTTCTATTTATCTACCATCAAGATTCAAAACACATCACATCTCTGTACAAAAATTCGAGAATCCTCACTCACCCCCCTCCCCCCCCAAATAAGATTATCGATACCAAGAACTGAGAATTAGACAGTGTGATCTGATGAATATCAAGGCGTTTGTTGATAAATACACACACACCAGGTACTAGATATGTTCATTACTTGTACTGATATCTGTAATCTGCAATCTGTTTATTTACTACTGGATGATTAATCTTGATCTTGATAATACTACGGTAGTATCTCCATGCATCCGTAGATATTGTATTGATTGACAGATTGTATACATATACACTACAGAGTAAAATGAAGAAGAGATCATAATCATTTAAGACCGAAACAGTCTGATATGAGATTACATCTTGTTGAGGATTGGATCCTAAATACGTCTTCTTGAACTTTATCTATATCATTGACGCGCTCAAGTAAGTAGAGCTATCATTTCGTGTTTTCCAAAGATAAATAATTAGAATTAAAGCTACACAAGTACAAGAAGAAGAAGTGATCTTTTGGCAAGAAAATCAAGATTGAAAAATGACACGAAAAACAAAAACCATCTGCAGCATACACTCCAGTGTTCCTCTCCATATTCCTATACTCGGTCGCTAGAACATTTGTCCGTTTCCGACTCCTATTGTAGTCTTGACTCTATCCTCATATTCCCACGATATCAATAAACAATGTTTCTTCCGACTCCGATGCTAAAGTGATGCCTTCCAGGCGCGTACAAATATAAATTATAATCAAGCATGTCAACCCTTGCTTGCATCCAAATCCATCTCCCAACGACTCCTTAATTCTCATCTTCATGAATTCTGATATTTGGATGGCTGATTAGCGACATCAGTACTTGGCGACTCATCAACTGCACTACTGCTGGAAGGCCCCTCGACTCCATCATTGCTAGTAGTGCGACTTTGCGTAGTCAAATCACCATAACTAGGTAATTCATCCAATCCACCACTACTCAAACATCTCGCCGCTCCTCCGGTATCAAGCTGAATTGTAACACCATGCATCATCGAATCCCCATAACTCGGCAACTGATCTTCACTTGCATTTCCAGCGAGGCCCTCCCCACGAGCCCTCGTTTCACTAGGGCCAGACACACTACTTGAGCTCCCCACTACTTCCCTATTCTCCTCTCTCTCACTCCACAACATTCTTTTCTTCCTCGATATCTTATCTAACTCCAAAGAGAAGAAACCTATCGCCCGTGTATTATCTACTCGTCTCGCGACCTCAATCTGTTCTTTGAGATCTTTTTCCTCCCGTTCCAATCGACAATACCTCTTCCATTCCTCAAACCAAAAACACAAGAGTGCAACGACCAATTTCTGACCACTAATCGAAAGACTAGTAGAAGCAAGCTGATGTGGGAAGTTCTTGGTAATCGCGGCCGTTTTGACCGGATACTCATCTTCCATGCTATGTCTCGGGGCCAACATCCCAGGTTCAAGAGTAGCGGGTGCTTCCAATATGATACCGTGTTGGATAAGAGCTTTCTGGATCTTCACACTGGAACTTTCCATATCGACAATGTCGGTCACCATAAAAGCTCGCTCGCCGAGATACATGGGATGCGGAAGACGTCGTTGATATTTGATGAGAGCATCGGCTTGAGCGGGAGTGAGAGAGACATCGGTGAAGGGGTGAGCTTCGGAGAAGACATTGCCGACGGCATGGAGGAAGGCTCCGGAGAGTCTACGGACGCGTTCCATGGTCGCTGATGATTTTTGTATCACCTATCACCACACTATTGTAAAAATTTCTCGTGGCTGATTGGATGATATTTGGTATGATAAGATAAGATGAGATGAGATGATGTCCTGATGTGAATGCAAGGTACTGTGTCTTGCCCTTGTTCCGCATATAATATTGATACTGGGATGATTTGAATCTGATCATGGAAGGTGCTCACGAACAAAAAGGTAAGTTATTCACGAATGAGGGGTATTAATTTGGGCACATGTTCCGTGCCCACTACATCTCCATTCACCGTTCCACGCAGATAGAAGAATCAACCTTATTGGTTCAAAAGAGCAAGACGGACAGGAGAAGAAGAATAAGGCTACCTGTCCTAGGTAATCCAAGGATTTCTTATCAAAGTCGCATTACCATAAAGAGAAAGATAAAAATAATGCAACCCCGCTTTCAACCGATTGCGAAGCTGACATACAGATTCCACATTGAGAAATCAAGCACGAGATGCTGAAGGATGGCTGCAGCAAGGGTTTCAGCTGAAGTTTGGGTCACGAAATGATCACTTGAACAATTTATCTCGTGACCAGTTGCAGTTGGGCCAAATATTTGGATATGCACATCGTTACTCGGGTCTTGGAAATGGGGACGTCGTCGTCAATATTGTTGGGAGGCGTCTTGTAGGATCAAATTCGCAAACTTGCAAAGGAAGGAAGAAGGAAGGCATATCCCTCCCCACAATTAGTCAATACGAGGTACAACACAGTATGACAAGTGCATCCATGGAAACCTCCTACTACCCAGATATCAAGATACTGTACCATTACCATATCCATACCCATACTCATACCATCCTTTAAAGCGTCGTCAACCTCAACAACTATCGTGGCGATATTCATTAAGCAATGATACCTATCCATACAAACAGACAAAAAACACCGAGGCTTAATCAAGTAAACCATTTAATTTTTCGAGAATGATTCGAGAATGACAATCCAAAAGTATCCATGGATTGACGTGGTGTTGCACTGCCACAACGGCTTGTGTCGAGCATCGTTCAACCTGTCGTCCGTGATGAAAATTGTCTGTTCCCGACTCGCGATTACGAACGGCTTTATGCGCATTGCCCTCCAACTAAAGATATTCGCCCCTCTCGCTGGCAATGTCTGTCTAGGAAATAGAGAAACATTGCAGATATTCCGCCTTGTGTTCAGCTGTTCCAGGATACCTACTTATGCCACGTTGATCGCGTTAAACTTATAATTCTCCTCGCACAGGCAGGCATCTTTGGTCTATCGGGGTCCATGGGTGGCATATTCGTAGTGATCTACTGACTAAGATACTGAGTGCGTTTGGGATCTTGATTCTTGATCTGATAACCGCATCGCCAATCCCGAAGCCATTGAATACTTCATGGTATTGTGGTCATCAATATGGCTGTGTTACATTTAGAAACACATTTAGAAGCCTGATACATTCAAGGATTTCTGATGGATATCTATTGATGGGGCTAACAAACAGGGCCGTCACATTTATGCCATGAAATCTTAAACAATTAGGTGCCCTACGTGCGATTTGTATGGAAACGGCAGTTCTAGCTATGCAAACCCTCGGATGATATGATAGATCTCATGTGGATAAAGCGTGGTGAGAGACAAAAAGGACAGGGCACGGCGCCAAATGGTAACGGCGATCCGAATGAAATATCTTCTGGACGAATCCGCAACGTGCTTTTCCGAATACCAGAAAATGGAAAGCCGATGTCATGCGTCACACTGCGTTTGTACCCTCTTTCCCATACCATAAGGTACAAGTATCTAAGCGCGCATGTAGAGTCACCTGTTGATGTTACCCTTACCTGATGGCATCCCTTGTTACG